GCTAAGAAATATAATACAACGTTTAATGTGTCTTCTCGTGAATTTGCAACTCTACCAATTAAGACATGTATCATTTATTTCAAGGGTTTTACTGTCAAACAGGTTGTTTAATGTACGAATGTGTAATGATACTTATGAATAAAAAAGCAAATACAGTTCTACTAGACTTTTAAACAAGTAACAATGTATGTTTCTAAGAAACAAACCTTACAATTAACTAGCTTTGCAAGGAAACAGCGAAAACACAATAGCTTTATGTTAATTCTCAACTAAGGATTAAAGTTAACTGCACCTGGAGCCCCTCTGGGCTACTGCCGGTCCCAAGCCCAGACAAAGGAGGAGGGTTGAGCAAGGGGTTAGCGACCTCATCCCGTAGAAAACTAACTTGCTAAGAAGAACGCTGACTAGATATGGATTAATTTTAAGTACACCAGTTCTGGAATAAAATGTTGGAGTTTGACATCTAGTTTTTATATGTGATTGAAGATGAATGTATATAGTAATAGAGTTGCTAAGAATAACTATGTCTTAAAACTACAATTCGCTTGATAATGGCTATATATATATATGCTATCAAAAATGCCAGTTTACTGGGGGTAAAATCAATGCAAATTTACTAGGGCTTATGAAGATTTCACTTTATGGATTAAAATCATATGGTAAATCATTAACAATTAAGTAGCATTAGGCATTTAATTTAGGATTGTTTGTCAATCAATGTAAAGAAGTTCAAAATATCCAACTACTGTTCTTAGTCTATTGGATGATGAATTACTGAAGATGTTCAGTCTATGAAGACTCGGGTTTCAAATAACACTCTTCTTTTTTGATAATCCTTACCATATTATGCAACATTAATTCATTCTCATTGACTTAACATTTGAATAAGTTTGACTATCTTTGATAATTTTGTAAACCTCCCTCTATTTTATTATAGAATACCACATGTAAAAATGACCTATAAATACCATTGTACAGCTTCAGAAAGTGATAGCATCGATGAATAGTCTTCATTCTTTAGTAGAATTTATTTAAAATGATATAGACTTTATCTTCTTTCCAGTCACGTTAACTATTTTGGTAGATACCAAGACAGAGAGAGAGAGAGAGAGAGAGAGAGAAAGTAACTAGGCTTCAGGATAAATTCTAATCATTTAAATAATCATTCTCCTATTATTCATGTTTACATAAACATCATCAAAGAATTTATTTAGCTCATAATCTAACATATTTAGCTACTGTTAAACAAGAAGCGGTCATTCGTGTAGTTATACAATAATGAATATTTACTAACATCTTTATCTACTTATTGAACTGTAGTGAAGTATTACAGAGTGTAGTGTTCATAGTATGACCCAATAAATGTATAAGAATCTATAAATGAACACACTTCGGAAATATACCAATTTACATTTATCAATTATTATCCCAATGACTCATTACAACAATCAGAAAATTGGTTATATAAAGTGTATTATTACATAGTGTAACATGTATCGAACCAGTTGACAAAGGTTGACCGATAAAATGAATTATGTTATATATATATAGTCATATTGTCCCATATTATTTTTGTAATCAGGTTCAATGATGATCTTATTGAAACAATGTTTCATTTTTGATCAACATCAATATAAAGATAATTTAGATAAAATAGATTAAATATTGATAACCATTACTTTTAAAGAGAATGAATTTGTAGAGATTGTTCATTTTGTAGTAGGCTTTCATTACAAATTAGTCAGTCAGTCAGCTACAACGTAGGATCAGGTACATATATGCATCGGTTCAAGTTTCTATACCTCATTAACACAACAAGATGAACACCGGATTCATACAAGTAGTTAATTCAACAGTGGTAATATGTAAAAGAAAGATTGCATATAAGGACATAGTACGGGGAGAAAGGATTAGTTGGTAGAAAGAAAGATATGAAGCGATTTAAATCTCATAGTTTAAAGGAAGACAGCAAATGTATACACAGATGTCATTGTGATCGATTCTGAGCCATGTCAACCAGAGTCTCCAATCATTGGGTACGATAGTCACACGCACCACAACCAAGTACTCTGCATCTACCAACATGGCTCAAACGAGAAGTTAGTGACTTTGTGAACTGATGCCACGTTTTGATTTGGCAGCGCCTAACTTTCTTGCAACCGTCCCGTACACTAGTCAGCATTGTGCGTCGTGTTAATCAGTGTTCAGCCATACGGAACACGTGGCTCAAACATCTTAGTCGATGAAGACTCACAACCTCATCAAGCGATTGAAGTTGATACAGCAACATTGGGAATTCGAGAGGACTGTGTAAACATTATTAAGTACTAACTATTATTCAAGATAGTTTTTCTAAGTTCCATGGAATGTTTGTAAATGTAAATCAACCTAGAAGTGAATTAGACATATATCGAGATGTACATCGTTAATTAATTGGAAATTTAGATTACTGAATAGTGACTTAAATGTTCATCTATTTTACTCCCACCCCAAGGTCATACAGTTTTCGTCTCGTTCTTATGTGATTTGATAGTTGCATACTGCTGAAAAATACTAAAGTATGATTAGACAGTTGTCCTATGTTTAATGATACTTACTGGTTTTCCACCTGATATCGAACTGTGACAAAGAATAACTTTAAATAACTATTTGATACAATCTATCATCAATATTATTGTGCAGATATTTTTAATCCTCAATGAAAGAGTTTAATATAATACACACAGAAGGTCGTATTGCTAAATGGTTACTATGGTATAATTTATCAATTTGTAGCAAATTCTGTTCAATTGACTCATGAATTCAACTATTAAAATTACTATCATATCGACAAAACTCTTCTGATATGGATCGACATATGCTGATTATGGATTGGCTTCAAAAGGTATTTCTTAGATTCACTTGATATTGTTCAGTCCTAAACATCAATGGGAAGATTCAAATAAAACAATATCAAGTGAATTAAACTTCACCCCATTGCACAAGCAGGTGGCTATCAGGACTCAGTAGCTAAGTGGATAACGCGATGGCGTTTGAAGCGGACGGTGCTGGGTTCGAGTCCCAGAGTGAACATCAACTCTGAGATGCAGGTATATCCAGCTGACGAGTCCCAACTAAGACGAAACACGCATCCTTGATTCCACTGCTAGCTACTATCCATCTCTGCTTATAATGGTATTTCTTAGAGTTCTAATGAAAATCAGTGACCATTAACACCGTTGGTTGCCGGACCGCTCAGTGGTCTAGTGGATAAGCGCTCGCGCGCGATATTGATAGGTCCTGAGTTCGAATCTCGCGAGGCCAGATCGTTGATGTGCACTGCTGAGGAGTGCCACAATAAGACGAAATCGCCATCTATTGCTTCTAGGTTTCCCATGGTGTTCTGTCTTCAATTGACTTATGAATTCAAATTCGAAATGCTCTCATATAGCCACGTGCATACAACCACTAACAGGGAAGTCCTACTCACTGCCTTCTTGTGGCATCATTGTTTATTACCAAATCGAGTGGACGACAGGCGAATGGCTAATGCTTTATCCAGGTTTGTGGATTTGGAGAATCCACCTATGGGAGTTGTAAAACCCTGATCTCAAACCAATGGTGTACACGGACTCCAGTACCCTGAGGGAACAAATGTCGTTTGAACCAATCGTTGGTCACCCGCTGCCATGAGACCGCATCTCCTTATGTTGCTTCACCGCCTTATAGATCAGACCTTTAAGTCAAAGGCTCCGGTTATGGCCCCCTAAGAAAACCACCTGCTTCGGTTTAGATACTCCGGTAGTATCTTAGCCCTCATACAAATCGAATGATTCATGTGTCGCATATCTGTTTGGTGCCTTCTTGTACCAATGTTTACATTTCTAAGGTATACATACATCAATTAGTAAATGAGTCAATTACGGATCATTTCAAAATCGTACGGGATTATATATTACTTCAATTTTTTCACACTTAACAATTAACACAACCAAATAGATCATTTTTAAGATGAATAGTAGATAGAACGAGAATGAAATTATTATTCTTTTCAATGGAATATAGCTTCAACTGACTCATGATCTTAATCATTGAAATTACTGCAATCTCCACAAAACCCCTTCTAATATTAATCAACATATGCTCACTAGTGACTGGCTTCAAGAGGTATATCCTGGAGTTCTAGTGAGAAGTAGTGACCAGTGGAGTTCAACCAGGTCTGTTGTGAGATAGTAACTCGCTGAAGACAATGATGGATGTGTCGTTGAATTTCGTGGTTTAATTGAAGTTAGAAATTAAAACCGTTGGATTCCGTCTCATCGGTCTAGTGGTTAAGTGCTCACGCGAGAAACTATTAGGTCCTAGGTTCGGATCTCTTAGGGGGCGAGGTCGTGGGTGCGCACTGCTGAGGAGTCCCACAATAGGACGAAACGGCCGTCCAGTGCTTCTAGGTTTTCCATGATGTTCTAGCTTCAACTGACTCATGATCTTAACCATTGAATATAAAAAACACAAAATATTTCATTCAAAGAATCAAGTGGTATTTAAAAAATATAAAAAAATTGTAAAAAAAAGTGTACAAATTTGGCGGAAAATATAAAAATGAATCTAAATATCCATTTATTATTAACTGTAGGTTATATTGTAGTAAACGAGAACATAAGCAGAACTACAAAAATACATAATTACTTAATAAAATCTGAAAACAAAATGTTCATCAATTGTTTCATACTTTATTGTTCCTTCATTTTCACATTAATCATTCTTTGTTCATACTCTTCAATCTTCTTAACTTTCTGCTGTCATTTTCGATATATACTACTTATATTAATCGAAATCAGTAGTACACTCCAGAATATTACTCTTTTCAAGTTGTAAATAACATACAGAACAATACTCATTACAAAATGTATTCAATATATATATATATATATATATATATATATATATATATATATATATATATATAATATCGATTTATACTATACAGAAATAGAGTTGATCATTGTTTCATTAACAGATTACCATGGTCTCCATAATACATTATCTTCTTCTGTATTATAATTATTCTCTTCTATTAATGATAATGATGATGTAGATAATGATATAGACATTTCATCATTACAATGATTATGAGAAATTCGATTAGAACTTAATTTATCCGTTTTCTTTAATTGAATTAATGAATTAATGAAATCTTGTGATTGTTCAGTATTATATGAAAGATTATAGTTAGGTATAAGGTTTATTGATTCAGATAAATCATTAATTGGAAGTTGTTTCGATGGGAATGATAAGGATGATGATAATGATGATGATGACGCTGATGATAACGATGATGAAGGTGATGATGATGATGATGAATGTATAGTGTTTAATATATATGACATAGTAAACTGTTTCGAATGAATCAATTCATTGTTAATATTAATCAGATCATTTTGATTCATTGTTGAAGATGATATTGAAGATGTGGATTGTTGATTATTAAAATGTTTTTGAATAATACTTTTAAAAGTACTTTCACAAGATAAATATCCATAATAAAACATTCGAATATTTTCAATTTGTTGAGATTCTTGATATATAGTTTGATATTTATCTAATTGAAAATCTAAAAATGGAAGATAGTAGAACTCATAATGAAATAGAATAATAATTACGTGATAATATGGATTGATTGAAGGTGAACATTAATACTGTTGGATTCTAACTCACTAATTTAGAAGATAAGCATTCGTGAATGAGATCGGAGATCTTGAATTCGATTGTCGCTTGCGAGATCGTGAACTGGTCTGAGTCAACACCTGAACTAAGGATAGGGAGTGAAGTAGTCGAACGCGTTGACAACTTCACTTATCTTGGAAGTCTGATCAGCTCTAATGGGTTGGTGTCTGACGAAATCTCAGCACGGATTCGAAAAGCTCCCTTGGCCTTTGCCAACTTACGTCATCTATGGCGAAGGCGAGATATCCGTCTACCAATTAAGGGATGAGTATACTGCGCAGCAGTTCGTTCCGTTCTACTATACGGCTGCGAAACATGGCCTTTAAGAGTAGAAGATATTCGTAAGTTACTAGTATTTGACCACAGGCGCCTTAGAAATATTGCTCGCATCTGCTGGGGTCACCAGGTAAGTAATAGTGAGGTTAGACGAAGGGTACTAGGGAATGGTGGTAAATCAGTTGATGAGGTTATGAATCTTCATCGACTGAGATGGTTGGGCCACGTGCTGCGTATGCCTGAACACCGATTACCACGACGCGCAATGGTAACCGGTGTTAGGGATGATTGGAAGAAAGTTAGGGGCGGCCAAACCAAAACGTGGCATCAGTGCTTGAAGTCACTAACTTCTGGTCTGAGCCATGTTGGTAGATTCAGACTGCTTGGTTGGGGTCCGCGTGACTATCGTAACCAATGGTTAGAGACTCTTGATGACATGGCTCAGAATCGATCACAATGGCGTCGGTGTATACACTCTCTGTCTTCCTTTAAACTAAGAGATTGAAATCACTTGAAATCTTTCTTTCTAGGAACTAATTCTATCTTCCTGTACTATCTCCTTATATGCAATCTTTCTTCTATATATTACCACTACTGAATTAACTACTTCTATGAATTTGGTGTTCATCTTGTTGTGCTAATGAGGTATGGCAACTTGGACCGATGCATATATGTGCCTTTTCCTACGTTGTAGCTGACTGACTGACTGATCGTGGATACACACTTTTGAAGAGCCCAATACTAGGATGAAACGGGCTTGTAGATTTTTAATGATGATTTAACATTGATTGGTTTATGATTTCAATAGAATTCAACAATCTTTATGATATAAATTATCAGTAATGGATTGAATTCTATAGAGTTACATTTATACATTTTAACTTTGACCTAAGCTTCTCTATTATACTTTGGAAAATCCTAATTCAACTTAACTACTAGTTGAATGTCAATAATTCAGTTATTAATTGTTCTGGTAGATGATGTCACTAACTAACAGTTGGAAAAATAAGCGTTAATATGGTATTATCAATTATTTTTTATGAAGGCTGTGAGGATAGTTACTGCACAAATCAAAGACGCATATTTTGACAATATCAGTTTCGTTGTCTTCACTTGGTATTGTTTGTTTGTATCTTCCTAATGTTGTTTAGATCTGTAATTGACCAGTCTCTAACTAGCATATGTACATCCTATGCGGATTGCCTCGATATTGCCTAAGTCATAAGCATTATAAACAAAGATGGATAATGGAATTCAGGACGAGTGATTCGACCCATTTGGGACTTATCAGCTGGATGTACATGTATCTCAGAGTTGATGCTCACTCTGGAACTCGAACCCAATACCGCTTGCTTCAAATCCCATCGGCGTTATCCATTCAGCTACTGAATCCTGATAGACACCTGTTTGTTTAATAGGGTGAAATTTAATTTACTTGGTGTTGTTCGCTTGTATCTTCCCATAGTTGTTTACGACTGCTCTTATTGTTACTAGACATATACATATATGCACAATTCATAAATAATCACAAGAATTATCTTAGATTTATCATAAACATTATCATATAATCTATTTGTTTTTATTTAAGACTATCAATAACTACAGGTTGAAAGACTAGCAACTAATTTCGTTGAACTGACCCTTAATTCTTTTTATTCACCTTCTAGATACCTAATTAATCAAGATGCTTCCGATTTATCCTTATCACCTGTTAGTCCACAACGAATACCACCTACAGAGTACGTTATATATATATTCTTTTAGGTAACCTGTTTCTTAGCAAATTGCTTTGAAGAGTTATCAATGAATCATTTACAAGTTTACATGATTCCTAAAGTGTTAATTGTAAACTGGAAAAATAAACAATTCCATCTTTTTTTAAGCAAAGATGGATAGTGGTTAGCCGTGGAGTCCAGGACGCGCTTTCCATCCTACTTGGGGCTTGTCAGATGGAAGTATGTAAGTATCAAAGTAAATAAATCGATTGAAAAAAAAGTCATATTGAAGCTACTTACTAGTTGTTAAATCTTTTATAAATTTGACTGTCATATCCAAAATATCAGCTTTCTCTAATTTATTAGACTGTTAGAAAATAAAAGATCATATGAAAGTTAAAGGTATGATAGAATAGTATAAATGTTAAATAAGTAAACAAATTTTAACAGTTAAATTCATGAGTTGATCTAAGCCAGACCATTAGTGAAAGTATGAAATCATTAAACTGCCATTTTTTCCTAGTATCGGACTCACCAACAGTCCACATCCACCATCTTGCACATGAGATTCGAAACCATAACTTTCAGTCTCGCGGATGATTGCTTAACCTAAAGACAACTGAACCGATGTTATTTTCTAACTTTAATCGATTCATAAACTTGTGAAACTCTTCACTCATTGTCTGAAGTAGATAACTGTCTCACACCAAATATAGATTGAACTTCTTTCGTGATGGATTTCAATGATTGTCTAACTCAGATAAACTCATAAATGTAACTATTAAAATATTTTCTTTTAATATTGAAATTGAGCACGATGTAATAGTTATTCTGATGTTACTTTACATTTTAAACCTCTCCTTGACTAACATCTTCAAACCCTAATCTTTCCAATTAATGCTTATACTTTTATTACCTCTACCACTATGGGATTTGAATCGACAATTGCATCATTGTGCTAATTTCATATGGCAACTCGAACTGATGTACGTACGTACGAAGTTCTACGTTGTTATTGACTGACTGATATATATATATATATATATATATATATATATATATATATATATATATATATATATATATATATATATATATATATATATATATATATATATATATATTGATTTGAAGAATAGTCGTTTAGTCATTTAGAAAGTACTTTGAAGATGTATTTCATTGTTTAACCAGATAATAATACACGACATATGGCACGTTTTTCATTAAGATTTATTGTTTAACATTATACATTCATAAAATCATTCATTATACATACATACATACATACATATATACAGTTAATTACTGGAAGTGTTAAAAGAATCCGTTTGATCCTAACGCAGCATGATACTATTTCAAATTCAATAGTAGACATATTGTCCACTTAACTAAACAACTCAATAATGCACCTATTAAATTATAATGACAAAAAGAAAAATCAAACAATAATCAGTTAATTAACTAGTAAGTGAAGAAAAACCTGGGAAGATTAAACTTACATGTTTAATTCTAGGCTCTATAATCAATCTTCTTAATTCTTCCAGTGCATGATTAATGCGTTGACGTCTACGTTTCTCCACTAGTGGTTTATTACGCTAATTTATTAGGGTAATAATGAAAAGAAGTAGTAAATTCAATTGTAAACAAATAATATATCATAATTAATATGATACATTTGCAATAAGAAAAAAAAAACGGTAGTAACATCATATTATTGTTCTATATGAAATATGTGACAAATATCAAGTGTTTCTAAGTGTTCAATTAACATAAGATGTTGGTTGATGGTAGTCAACAGGAAACCCTAGACTCGGGTTTCGTGCTAATTAGCAAGGTGTACCTGTAATCTTAAGGGAATTGGTGCTCGCTTACGTATTCAATCATGTGTGACTCAGCTTCACAGTCAGAGATTTTACCACTGAGTTATCTGGGCTGCAACTGTTGTCCTGCAGGACTGAAATGCATTAACAATCGATTGATCACTGGGTGGTGATCAATGTCATGTGTGTCAGGCCGTTCTTAGTGCAGTTTGATCAATTAACATGTTACAGAATAAAAATAATAAGTCATACATTTCATGAAGAAAAATTCAATCCATAGTTTCTTTGAAAAACTGGGAAAGTTGATTGTCAGAAAATAATCCTACTATTTTCAACGTAAGCGTTTAGATGCCTCCAAATGCCCTGGTATGGCGTAGAGTGTGCAGAGTCAGCTCTCTCTCTCCCCAAATACTATCATATGACCACGTGCATACAACCACTAACAGGGAAGTCATACTCACTACCATCTCGCGGCATTACTGTTGTTTACCAAATTCAGAGGACGTAAAGCGATTATCTGGCACTTTAACCGGGTTGGTGGATACACACATTGAAGTTGGAAAATCTTAATTCCAAACCAATGGTGCACATAGACTCCAGTATCCTGGTGGAACAAGTGGCGTATGGACGTATTGTTGGTCACCGGCTACCATGAGACTGCATCGCCTCACGTTACTCCACTGCCTTGTGGATTAGACCTTTTGGCGAAAGGTTCAGAGTGTGGCCCCCTAAGAAAACAACCTGCTTTGATTTAGGCGCCCGGGTAGTATCCTAGTCCTCATACAAATCGAATGATTTATGTGTCGCATATCTATTTAGTGCCTTCTTGTACCAATGTTTATGTGTTTAAATAAATAAATAAGAAGCCATAACTATATTGAGTGTTCATATCTATCTACTTACCAGAGAATCACATCAAATAGGGTTACCTCAGCAATGTTTTTTCTTGATATTATACAAAATTAATGAGTTACGAGTGTTATTTCACCCAGTCACTGAAGGAAATAAGATAATTCATTTTGTATCGGTTGTTCGAATCTTCCCATTGATGTTTAGGACTGCGATTGATCAGTCTCTTATTGACATATGTACATCCTGTGCGCATTGCATCGATATTGCCTTAATTCACAAGTATTATAAACAAAGATCGATATTGGCTAGCAGTGGAATCAAGGACGCGCGTTTCATCCCATCTATGACTCATCAAGTGCATCCAGCCTACGAGTCCCGAATAGGATGAAACACGCTTCTTAGATTCGATTGCTAGCCACTATCTATCGTTGCTTATGGACTATTTTAGTTAATTCTCACTTGCCTACACAAAATATTTCGGATCCATTGACCAAACACTATCAGCAACAACCTACTTTAGGAGAAAACAAACCAGATTCCAGCAGAGAAAGAAGCGCTGGGAGTGGATAAGACACACATTGAGGAAAGCACCCAACTGCATCACAAGGCAAGTCCTCACTTGGAATCCTCAAGACCAAAGGAGATGAGGAAGATCAAAGAACACATTACGCCAAGAAATGGAGACAGAATTGAGAAGAATGAACAACAATCGGATAGAACTAGAAAGGAAGGCCTAAGACAGTATGGGTTGAAGAATGCTCATCGGCGACTTATGCTCCACTGGGAGTAACAGGAGTAAGTAAGGTAATAAAAGTGTTACTTACTGACTACTTATATCAATCATACAAATTATGACTATTATTATTATAGAAAAAAGAATAATAATAATAATACGATAGGAAAGTATTCATTTTATAATAACTTACTTTTTTCCAACTTGTTTGAGAATTAAATTGAATATTATTTGAAATATCTATTTCATTAGATATAGTTGAATGTTCTGATCTATGATTCGTATATGGAGTTGATGTATACATTCTACTATAATAATTAACTTCTATGAATATTTTCTTGTTGAATAAAACAGACTAATTATATTAGAATTTATTTATGAAACTAACCACTGATGGAGGTGGTTGTAGTGGTGATGATGGTGATGGTGGTGGTGTGATCTATATTTGACTATTAATTGATTACTGATTGGCTTCCTTATTGAAAAATATTAAAAAAAAACCCAACATATTTTGTAACCTGATCCCTTCCTTGTTCTATATTATTGCCACACGTAAGAAATGATTGAAATGCCTAGTCATCATGTCTGCACACATACACATACACACACATAGGTAGACATTTTCATATGAAATTGTGCCAAATTATTCTCTTAATTTGATTTGTTAAATTAGAAGACAATTTTAATGATTTTAATGGGTTATTACAATAATGCTGAATGTTACATTTTTGAGATGAAGTAAAAGGATTTTTATTAGCTAATCCATTGAAAAGTAGCTCATTAAAGATTGAGTTCATTGTGAACTAATAATAACTAGAATATCACTGTGATGTAGAGAGGGAAAGCAAGCCTTGTAGTGATGTTCTGTCGTTGTTTCAAGTATTTTGTATGTGTGTGTGTGTGTGTGTGGGAGTACAACAATGAAGGCACATATAATTAAACTTACAACCTTTGATCTAGCTATGAATACGATACTTTAGGATCAGCAGCCATTAATTTACTTCTGAACTTGTGAACTTCAGTCATCATTGTTTTACACATTTCGCTGAAGGTTAAAATGAAAACTACTAAACACTAAATCAGTGACTGAAAGGTGTTGAGCTGATCAAAGGGCCGGAATCGTCATTAGTTTATAGTTGTTATGGTATTATGACTGTTCACTTTTATGGTACTTTGAGCAAATACAAAAATGACTGTATCATCCCCCCTTGATTTTCAGTGATTCATGGTGAAAACATATTTAAAAGTTCTCAAAATCTTTGCACAAAAAAACTTTAAAAAGTATTTGGAATGCTTGATAATTAAAAGGTCATTAGACTTGTAATTCATTCTGTTTTGAATTCCTCAGAAGTGCTTACAACAAACAGTATAAAGTATCAAATCCATAACCTTCAAGTTTTGCTTTATGGGTAATTTCCTTTCAGCTAATGATCTTCAATCCAGTATTGAAAATATTTGACTTTGATATTATCGCTGAGACAACGTTATGATTAATTATTATCATGAAAAAGGATCTGTAATGATTCTTAGCCTAAATGATTTTATACGCCACAATTCTCATAAGAACTAAAGTGTACTACATAGAAGTTAATAAGTAGAAAACTTATTTATGTTAAAAAAGTGTGAAATTGGGATTTATTATGTTTAAATAACAGTTTCAAACAGATATTCTCTGAATAAGATTATATTGAATGAAACAGACATAGCATTTGATTGAAATCATGAGCCGATTGATGTTAGACCACCATTGAAAACCTGGAAGCACTAGACGGCCATTTCGTCCTAGTATGAGACTTCTCAGCAGTGTGCATCCACCATTCCGCCCGCAGGATTCGAACCCATGGTGTATCGGGTAGAGACAGGTATCTACCTCAGTAAAATGGAAGATGGTCGTGAAATTTTGTGGATTGGTTGATGTTAGATACTAACACCATTGGATGCCGGCCCAGCGGTTCAGTAGGTTAGGCGTCCACGCGCGAGACTGAAGGCCCTGGGTTCGAATCCCACGAGAGGGATCGTGGATGCGCAGCTCTGAGGAGTCTCACAACAGGACGAAACGGCCGTCCAATGCTTCCAGGTTTCCAACGGTGGTCTAACATCAATCGGTTCATGATTTCAATCAAAAACTTAATAATCTCCTCAACCCCAATACTGATAAGATATAGTATTCTTTAAATCTATTAACTGAGATACAAAAAGACAATCATATTTTCGTGTAAATAATCTGTTAATTAATCAGTATTTCCAATAGTTGAATTCATGAATCGATCAAAGCTAGAGCAGCATGGAACTCTTATAAGTACTGGATCCAGCGATCGGGATCGTGGATGCTCAATGGTGAGGAGTTCAACACTACGATGAAACGGTCATTCAGTGTTTCTAGGTTTTCTATCGTGGTCTAGCTTTAATCGACTCATGACTTCAATTATCAAATTACTACAATCTCCACAAAATTCCATTTTTGATAATAATTAATAAGTGTTGATATATTTATTAGATTGTAGTTAGGTTTCGTATCCAAACTTTGACTAGGAATTATTAATCGTGATCAGTGGAACTGATGCGTGTCGGGTGTGAAATAGTTACTTACCGAAGACAATGGACACATGATAGTGCAATGTCGTGGATTGGTTGAAGTTAATCAATAAGACCGTTGGATCTCAGTTCATTAGTCTAGAGATTAAGCGGTCGCGTGTGGGACTGAAGGTTCTGAGTTATATTTCCACTGCTCACTGCTAAGAAGTTCCATATAAAGATTAAATGACCTATTAGTACTTGGAGACTTTTAATAGAGGTTTAACATTGATCGATACGTGATTTCAATGAAAGTCAACAATCTCTACAACTCCATACTAAAAATAAATATTTAAATAAATCTGTCAATCTTTTACAATCGTTATACTATCGTATATTTTGTCAATATAACAATTAATTTATCAAAATTTTATGAACCCTTCACCATGAACGGTTACTTTTGATCTTCTTTTTAAGATAGATTTCATGTTGTAGTCTTCGGTGAGTTACTATCTCACAACAGATCCGGTCAAACTCCACCATTGAATGTCGGCTCAGTGGTCTAAAGGTTAAGCGTTCGCACGCAAGACTGGTATGTCCTGAGCTCGAATTTCGTGAGGTGGGATCATGGATGCGCACTGGTGAGGCGTCCTACAATATTACGAGATGGATATCCAGTGCTTCCAGGTTTTCCATGGTGGTCTAGCTACAATCGACTCATGATTTCAATTATTGAAATTACTATAGTATCCACGAAACCCCTTCTGATACAAATTTATTTCGATAGACATTCTCGCCTGAGAAATTTTTTAAAAACATAACCGCAAAGGTCTTGGCTTTAGCTAAAAATTCTAAGCCGGAATTATGTTTTCATCATACAAAAAGTGAGAAAGTTAAGATATATAGTAACCGCACATTGGATAAACTGAAATGCGTATTTTACAGGAACTTCCTCATACACAGAATGAATTAAAGGTGAGTACTGATATTTAAGTATAAAATGTGAAAATACTCAAAACTGTTGAAATGATACAGTAGATAAGCAAAACTTAAGTGACTTATATATCAGACCAAGCAGTTAAATTTCAGCTGAAGTATTGAAGTATTTACCTTATTTGTTATTGTTTTGTTTCAGATTTGTAGACATAGTTTGTAAGAATACTACTGTGAGGTAATAATCTAATAATCCTATTTCTATTGCAAAAGCGAGTGAGTAATGCTAAGTTCAAAAGTAGAATACGAAGTGAATATGATAAATCGATTGATGTGGCTTTGAGTTCTTATTATCTGAATGTGGCTGAAGTTTATGTTATGCTCGGTCATCTACTCTCATTTCAATGAGTTAATGTTGATTTGTACACTGTTTGATTGAATAAAGCCAAGGATCTGGAAAATGGTGCTAGTTCATCAAATCACTGAATATCGGTTTTATTAGTGGAGCAAGAGACAGGTTTGCTGATAGATTTTTGTCATGTAATCGTATACTATGGTAGGGAACTTTCAGAGATTTGACTTGACGTCAGTCACAATGGTACAAATGGATTTAATAATGATCACTTACTAGGCTTCCAATTGTTAAATTATTTCGTAAAATATATCTCACGATTTCATTACTTACATGAAGGTGTTTAGTTAGAAGTTATGTTGAAGACAAATTAGTATAGAATAGCAAGGGTGTAAATAAATATAGCAGACCGAATATTGTAAATATATACCTTATGTTTTTGAGATGGTGGAGAAGATTTGTAGTTCAGGTGGATGATTTTGATGAAGTTTTGTTCTCTGAGCTGGATGGTTTTGTCGTGGAGCTTTCATCGTTCTTCTGAACGACATCATCAGCACAAACTTCAGATAGAAGTGAAGTGTTCGAATTTCTCCATATGCGTTTCACAGCTTGTTCTGTACACTTCGATGTTGATTGGTTCTTATTGACCTTAAATTTGTCATTGTTTACTTTTTTGTTTTGGTTGTGTCTCCTATTGGAGACACAAACACAACATCGAGGTGTACAGAACAAGCTGTGAAACGCATATGGAGAAATTCGAACACTTCACTTCTATCTGAAGTTTGTACTGATGATGTCGTTCAGAAGAACGATGAAAGCTCCACGACCAAACCATCCAGATCAGAGAACAAAAATTCCATCGAAATATGCCTTGTGTAAAAGAACATATCTACAACATTGATTGTAACAAGAGTTTAAAGGGCCAGTAACAAATGATTACGCAAAGAATAAACTCTGGTAAGAGCAAAATGGGTAAAACTCAGTTAATGAAATAAGACTACTTATCTAGAAAACAGTAGAAATAAAAAGATGTAATAGTGTAATTAAACGAAAGAGCTTTAAGATGCAACAAAGAAATATTTGTCACTAATACAGGGAAAGAATGATAAATCAGATTTTCGACGCTTGATAGCAAGGGCGTCAGAAAACTTCAGAAAACTGGAAGTGGGCTGTCTAATAATCATTTTGAAGGATTTCAAGGTATCAACTTGATGTCCCGTATTTAAGGCATGTTTGGTAAATGCACTGCTTGGAGTTGTTCTCTCTCTTATTCTAAGGCTTTCTGGAACGTACTTAAAAAACCAAGCTATACGCTCGTTTCTGTCTAGCCAATGCAGGTGCTCTGGTAGGTACACGTAAACTTACAAATACAGTTGGTGGTAACATGAAATGGGTGCTTGTCGACCTTTGATTGGGTTATTGAACATGTTGTTTTGTACAAATTTAATAGTTTATCTGTCGGGTAAGTTCTGGCTAGTGGAGTGTTAATCCTCCTGTTGATTGTGTTTGCGACTACATCACTTTTAAAGTTAGGATTTACAATTACTGGTTTTTCATATTTGTCAATACATTTCTGTGGGTAGTAGTTGTCTCTTAGGCACTTTTTAACGTTCATCAATTCTTCTTCCAGTTTGTCGATGGTACATTTCCTTTCTACCTTAGAAAATAGTGTTTAGACGAATGCTTTTTTGTAACTGATTGGACAAAAACTAATGAAATTGATGTAAGGATCATTCCAAGTACTTTTTCGATAAACCAAATATTGAACTGTCTCGTCTCCTCTACGTTGTATGGCAAT